GTATTAGTGGCAAAATAGTAATTTCTGTGAGTTTATGGCCAAAAAATGGAGAAAAAACCGCACCACACGCGCGTGAAGTGCACTTCCGTCAAGTTAGACGGTTTAGGGGATAACGCGCAATCAAAAGTATAATACAAAGGGGTATGGCGCAATTTTTAAAATACAAGGGGATAACGCGCAGATTTCGTATAATACAGGGGGGTTTGGCGCAATTTACCCTTTAATTTTAACAGTGACTATTATGTTATTAGGCTACTGATAGTAACTCTTTAATATTTATATAAACTCAAATATCATACTTTAAAATATAGATAAAAAATTAATTTTTTATAGGATAAATATTCAATTTTAAAAAAATATTTTGGTTGTCAAACGGTACAGTAGCATTTTTGTAATTATAAATATTGTTATTTTAACAAAAAAATTAATTAGTTAAATTTTAACATTACTTATGGAAAGGAGAATTGGGAGTATATACCACGATTCACAGTCAACGTTTGCTTTTATTTTATTTATTTATTTATTTGTGTCCCCGATTTCGTTGCAGCGTCCTAAAATTAAATGAAAAAGTAAATGCGTAGGAAGTGAAGTAAAAAAAAAAGGCTAAAGCCAACCAAAATTAAAAGAAGTCCCTTCTCTTGATCGAAGAGCAACTTCTCTAATCGTAGAGATCTTTCTCTCATAGGAGAGTTTTTCTGATTTCAATTTCAATCCCTAATTTTCTCTTGCAAATCGTTTTTCAGCCCGATTCACCAAAAGCTACGGTCACAGAAAATCCCTAAGATTAGGGATGATGGAGGATAACAACTCCGTCGATGTCACAGAAGAAGTTGAGAAGCGATTAACAGCTTTCTCCCTATCAGCCATAGAAAATGAAATAATCGATCTAGGAGATGAAGATGTTAAAGCAAGCAAGGAGGAATGCCAGCTCAGTCTCTTTGGGAAAGTCGTCGGTGACAAAAGAGCAAATCTTGTGGGCATCAGAAGGGCGATGAACCAGATATGGAGGTTAAAGAATCAAGTGGAGGTACGAGAATTGGAGCCAAATTTCTTTCAATTCCTCTTTACAAACAAGGAAGATATGAAAAAGGTAGAAGGAGGCACGAATTGGATTTTTGAAAATCAATATTTGGTTCTCAAAACATGGTATGAGAAACTCAGAAGTACAGATCCGTGCTTCAACGAAATTAGCTTCTGGGTTCAAATTCATCATGTCCCATTAAACTGGCTCACATCGGAAGTAGGGTTAAAGATTGGTCGAATTTTCAAATCAGTGTCCAACGTTTTGGTATGCAATCTGGGACCGCAAGGAGGCAGGCTTATCAAATTACTGGTTTCAGTCGATTGCAACGAGGCACTTCCCAGATGCGCTACCATCCGGCTGGGATCACAACTTATCACAGTAACTTTTAAATATGAGCGTCTGGTTAATTTATGTTTTTACTGCGGCAAGATAGGTCACATTGAAAAAAACTGCAAACAAAGAATGGATGACATCAAGGCAAAGACGCTGAAGGAAGGACAATATGGGGATTGGCTCCGAGCATCAGAAGGCTTACAAAGCCAGCATTGGAATAACACCAACTCTATTTCTATTTCTACCTCGGATCATCTTCAAGACCAGGAACCAAACCATTCAAGGCCTGATGATGTTACTAATGCTCAAGGGGAACTCTTGAAATATTCAGCTGAGCATATAGGAAGCTCGAAAGAACCAGGGCACTGCACATCTAAAGCGTTCAGCTCATCAGACAAAGCATCAACAGACCTACCTGAGAGCCAAAACAATCAAATTGAAGACCATACTCGGGCAGATCCTATGCAGGAGCATATGGATAGTCACATTGTTGTTTCAACCTGCCAAAAGATGGAAATGGAGCAAGCCATCATTCCTCTATCCACTACTCTACAAGACCCCTCACTAAATAACAAGAAAGGCCACATGGTAAGTCCAAGTCACCATCCTATGGAATTGGAACAAACCACTACACCACCTGCCACCACTACCCTGAAGGCAGATAAAGTCCAGCAAACTTGCACGCATCAAACTGCATATCAAAATGCGAAGGTGAGGACATGGAAAAGAACAGAATCAAATGAAGGCAGATCACGAAAGAATTTGGATTCCTCCATATCACAACAAGAACCTGCAGCATCTAAAAGACAAAGGGAAGATATTGCTAGTTTTGGTACCATTCCTACTCTCACTATACTTTCATTTGATCAACAAAACAAAAAACAAAAATTGCTTTCTGAAAAGGAGTTGAGGGCCAGCCTTAAAGAGCCCTCACCAACACCATGAATGCTCTGGTGTGGAACTGTAGAGGTCTGGGTGGGCCCTCTACAGTTCCCCAGATAAAGGAATCCATTCGGATCCACCACCCCTCTTTCATTTTTCTTTCAGAAACCAAAAAAACAAAAATTTATACTCAGAAGGTGTGTTTCAAATTGGGGTATGGTTGCAGCAATTACATTGTTCCCCCTGTGGGAACAAGAGGTGGTATGGTACTACTCTGGGACCCAAACATTGAAATTATTCAAATTCATAGTCAGCCTTTTTTCATAGCAGTTCAATATATGGAGAGCCAGATTAACATGCCATGTTGGGCTATATTTGTTTATCTTAGCCCTTACAGAACAGATAGGGAAGCCCAATGGGATCTGCTGCATCATGAGAAGTCCAAATGGGGAACTTTATGGTACATGGCCGGAGATTGGAATGACTTATGTAAGCCAGAAGACAAGAAAGGAGGGAAGACTAGATCTCGAGCCAGCTGTTGGGGTTTCAATAATTTTTTGGCACAGATGGGAGCTCATGAAATTGCTCATAAGGGCCTTCAATTTACCTGGGCTAACAACAGATCAGGGGAAGGCTTTGTGGAGGAAATTCTGGACAGAGTGTTTGTCTCTTTGGACTGGCTTCATCATTTCCCCTCAACACAAGTCACCAACTGGTTCAGGAGTGCCTCAGATCATGGCATGCTCATCATTCAACCTAAGGAGGCAGTAGCTAAACATAAAAGAAGATTTCAGTTTGATAAACGGTGGCTGCGCAAAGAAGGAGTTACTGAAGAAGTTCAAGCAGCCTGGGGGGAGGAGCAAACAGGAACTCCTATGTACATAATCAAGGAGAAGATCAAGAGAACCAGACAAGCCCTTCTCAAATGGAGCAGATACTTCCACTCTCAACAATCAGCTAAAGTCAAGCTGTTAACAATACAATTAGAAGAACTTAGACAGGCTGGAGGAGAGAGGAATTGGGATGTTTGGGATAGAATACAGAAGGAATTGGATGAAGCCAACCTATCAGAAGAAATCTATTGGAGGCAAAAGGCAAGAGCCTTATGGTTCAAGGAGGGAGATAAGAACTCCAAGTTCTTCCATGCTTATGCTGCTCAAAGGAGGAAAATGAATTCCATTGTGAAATTGATAGATGAAGAGAATAGATTAATTGAAGATCCATTGGAGATAGAGCAAAAGATTTCAGAGCATTATCAGAAGCTGTTCACATCAACAGGCTCTGAGCAAGGACATCATTTATTGCCCCTAATTAAAAAGACTGTCTCTGAGGAAATGAATGATGCCCTTACAGCACCAGTTGAGGAGGAGGACATCAAGAGGGCTGTGTTTTCTATTCACCCTGACAAAGCGCCTGGAGAGGATGGCATGACTGCGCTTTTTTTCCAGCATTTTTGGCCCATTGTGGGGGATGATATCTGCTATGCAGTTAAAACCTTCTTCTCCTCTGGACAACTTTTAAGGTATTGGAAGCATACACTCATAACTCTGATTCCTAAATGCAATAATCCCACATCCATTAATCATTATAGGCCAATCAGTTTGTGTGCTGTTTTCTACAAAATTATATCCAAAATCTTGGCACTCAGACTGAGGCATTGTTTAAATGAGTGCATCTCAGAAAATCAAACAGCTTTTCTTCCTGGGAGGCAGTTATTAGACAATGTGATCTTGGGGCATGAAATTTTTCATTTCTTAAACAGACATAGATCAGGTAAAAATTGTTTTATGGCACTGAAGCTAGATATGTATAAAGCTTTTGACAGTCTAGAATGGAAAGCCATTCAATTAACCATGATCAGTATGGGCTTCTCTCCTTTATTTGTTAAATGGATCATGGCATGCATCCAATTTCCCACATTCTCTTTTAATATAAATGGCAAGACGTGTGGTTTTATTACAGCCTCCAGAGGAATCAGGCAAGGGGACCCATTATCCCCTTATCTATTTATCATCATTTCTGAACTTCTTTCTGCAAAAATAACTGATGAGACAGTTAAAGGGAATTACAAGGGTGTCAGAATTTCAAGAGGAAGTCCAATGCTCACACATTTATTATTTGCTGATGACACCTTACTTTTTTGCAATGCAAGTGAATCCCAGGCCCAGAAAATTCAATCTATACTGCAAGTTTATAATAAATTTACAGGGCAAAAGGTCAATTGGGCTAAATCTACTATATTTTTCAGCAAAAATACTCTCAGAGCTGTACAAGATGCATGCTGTCAGATACTAACTGGGATTCAAATCCACAAATCAACAAGATACTTAGGCCTGCCCCTTGGAATTGGCAGATCAAAAAGGGAGTCATTTGAATACATTCTTGCAGTGGTGAAGAAAAGAATCCAAAGCTGGAAAAATAAGTGGTTAACTACAGCAGGTAAAGAAATTTTAATTAAAGCTGTCATTAATTCTTTACCTATTTTTGCAATGTCATGTTTTGTTTTACCAGTAGGGCTATGCAAAGAAATAGCAAGCCTATGTAGCCACTTCTGGTGGAGCAAGGGTACTGATTTGCAGAGAAGTGTTCATTGGATCTCATGGGACAAGTTAACATTAAATAAAAGATATGGAGGATTGGGCTTCCAAGATATACAGCTGTTCAACACAGCACTGATAGCCAAGCAAATATGGAGGTTGGTAACACAACCTCAAACTCTGGTTTGTAGAGTCTTAAAAGCAAAATATTTTCCAAACTCCTCTATTTTTGAAGCAAGCAGACAACAAAATGCCTCATGGCTATGGAGCAGTTGGCTAAAGGTGCTGGAAGTTTGTAGAAAATGGATGCAAGTGGAAATTAGGAGTGGCAATAACACAAGAATTGAGAACCAACACTGGATCCCTAATCACATTGGTCAACCTGTTCCACTTAATGAAGGCATTGACAGAAGAATCATATGGGTAAAAGACCTTATGTCCACTGATGGCAGCCAGTGGGACACTCAGAAGGTAAGGAGTACATTTCCAACAGAGATATGTGAAGCCATTCTAAGTATCAACACCATCAGTCCCAGCCACCCTGACAGATGGATCTGGAACCTCAGTAACAAAGGCATTTTTTCTGTTAAAACCACTTATGCTCATCTTATCACAGAAAAGGCCTTACAGATGGATCAGCCTGAAGGAAGTAGTGGAAGAATGCATGAAATCAAGGCCAGAACTAGAACATGGAAGCTCAAAGTAATGGGTAAGGTAAAACATTTTTTATGGAGATGCTTATCTGGTGCCTTGCCTGTAAATCTAAATTTGAGAAATAGAGGTATGAAGGTTGATGTGATCTGTCCTGTTTGTGGAGAAGCTGAAGAGTCTATAGAACACATATTTTTTCAATGTATCCAAGCTCAACAGGTGTGGAAGCTAGCTCCAGTGCAATGGGATGGCCCTCAAGAAACTGAGAGTTTTAAATCTTGGTGGTGGCAAGTGTGCAAATTGAATAGAGATGACACATCAGAAGCAAGGCTGCAGCTCTCAACATACATTCTCTGGTGGTTATGGAAATGTAGAAATTTATGGGTGTTTGAAGGATCCAAAAGGCCTGCAATCTCCATAGTTAAAGCAGCAGTGCAAGATTGGAGGGATTTCTTGGATGCTAATGGAGCAGGCCACATCTTCACATCTTAAAGATTGCATTGTTTTCAGTTTTCTCTTATTTTCTTAGATTCTGATCTTTTTGTTTCTTCTTCGGGCTCTTTTTTCTAAACTGGTTCATAAGGGTAAGGGTTCCAGTTGTGTTTAAACTGCCTTATCCCTTAGTTTTATTGTTGGATTTGGTTGTTGGATTTGTTTCTAGGCCACTTCTAGTGGTTCTCCCATTTCCGGCTGTTGTCTTTGTATGCTAGGTTTCTGTGGACTTTGTAATATTTCTTGGTTTATTAATATGAGATGATCTATCGTTTGGAAAAAAAAAAAAGAATTTACACTCTTCTAAATTTTACAGCTGGTCCTTCAGTTCAGCCAAACCAATAGTCAAAGACTCGAAGAAATTTCATAAAACCCTTCACCTGCAAAACCCTCCTCCCCTTCTCTATAGAAAATGGCTGCAAACGACGGCGTCCTTCTCCGTTCACTCGAGCTCCGCCTCCTCCGCTGCTCGCTGCCTT